ATTGTTCTATGATTCTATGATTCTATGAAACTCAGCATGGGATAAGACAGTGGTGATGTTTCACTGGTGGTCCCAACAGAGACCCTGGACCACCAAAATCTAAGACTGATGGCTGAGAGAACTGGCAGATAGAAAGGAAGAGCTTCCATTTACCACCCTCTTGTGGCCAAAAACATATCAAACACCTCTGGCAACTAAGTTCTGGACATGGCTCCCTGGTAGAGGATGCTGCAAAGCCCATGCAGCCAGCTAACACAAGCCTGCAACTCATTTCCAAAGCCCTTCCATAAACGGGGATGTGGTTCATCCAGCCCCCTCCATGCCAGTTCAACATCCTGACCATTTACACAATGTTATTCCAGCAAAAAAGTTAAATTTTAGCAACCTGGGAGCTGCGTGTGAATCCAGAATTGCAGTTTGTTCCAACTTTGATTTCATTTCAGCAATGGGAAGCAATGCAGGACAGGTGAGAATCATTGCAGAAACATCTGCCAGATTTTTGCAGAATGCCTGAAAAAAGGTGTTTCTGCTCTGGTGATCTCAGCGGGTGCATCACAGGATTACAGGAAACTCAGGTTGGAAGGAGGACCTCAGGAGATTTCTAATTCAGGTTCCCAATCAGAGCTCTGTAAGGTTAGCCCACGTTCCTCAGGGCTTTAATCAGCTGAGAAATGAAAACTTGCAAGGATGGAAATTGTACCAAGTGCTCTAATGGAAGCCTGCTCTAATGCATATGCTATACAGAAGACTTTAAATCACATCGTTATTGATTATATCAAATGTCACAAGCAGAGTGATAACTGGAGAACAATTTTGCTGAATCATGAAAAGAGGATTAAAGGAAAATCAGATCGGGATGAATAACATCAAAACGTAGGAAGCCTTACCAACACAGAAGGAATTGCAAATGATTCAAGGGGCAGGATCGAAGCAAGGGGGAAGGTCATTCCACTGTGTTCCAAATTCAGGCCAGAACCATTCACAAATTATCCAAACTAGCTAGTAAAGGTAGTTTTGTACCAATGGAGTTGGTGGAAGAAATGTGGATGGGAGGGAATAATGGGGAATGTCCTACACATCTGCTGCAAGACTGACCTCACAAACTAACTCACCTCACTGTATAAACAATATGGGATAGAGGAACTGGAGTTTGAAAATAAAATAAATAAATAAAAAAAACCCAAAGTAAAATAAAATATAAAATAAAATAAAATATAAAATAAAATAAAATAAAACAAAACAAAACAAAAACCTTTATCAGAGGACAGGTGCACTACAAATAACTTCAGTAATTGCTCCAGTTTTAACACGTCATTCTTTTTATTCTGCTCAAAAGGGTACAGAAAATAAGAGTTTTTAGCCTACTTGGATCAGATCACTGGCATGGATAGTTTAGTCTCATGCCTCATATTTTGAACACTGAAGCATCTCCTTAATTTCTCATGTCCAGAGAAAGAGATCTGGACAGCACAAAGAGCCAACAAAGCCACAAAACTGTGGGGTGGAGGAGACCTGCCACAGGGCTGAATTTCATCTGAGAAGACTGGTCGATTCAGCTATTCTGCTGGCTAACATCTGGAATAAAATGCCCTAAGGAGGAATGGCACGTTCTTAGCTCCAGGGTTTTGCTTTAAATATACTTGAAACAGCAGATTTTTTCATTCAAAACCAGGCAGACAAGCACAGCAAAGAAACTCCATAGCTAGTTTTATTGGAGTCTTTGATGTATCAGTGCAAAAATTTGTGTCGGGACTTTCTGAATTTTGCTTGTCTCTTGGTCATGGGAAAAGGGCAGGTACTAATAAAAAGCAATTTCATAGAGCTGTTGAGGGTTGTATATGAGGCATCCAAACAGAAAGCTGGGCTGGCAGGTGCTTATTCTCTTCTTCATTGGGTTCTTCAGCATGAAAGACCTACCTCCCTATGAGCTCCTCATGGTCTAGTCCAGAAGAGGGCACAAAGGGAGCTTGCCAGCGCCGTAACAAGCACGAAGCTGATCCTCAGGCTGGCTGCACCATCCGTGTTGCACAAATCAGAGTAACAGCAGACGACAGGGTGTGTCATGCCAATCCCATCCACATCAGATGGCTCACAGACGGAAGAGCACATCCTGGTGACAGTAGCAACACCCGTGAAGGGATAAAATGCTACCAAAAAAAAAAAAAAAAAAACCAAGAAAGAAAGGATGTTAGGCATGGGAGGAACGAAGGGGAACTCTTCTTGTCCTTACTGAAACATTAGCTGCCTTCACCACCAATATCTTAGCTCCAGTTCAAACACAGTTGGTCTACTTCCTACCAGGAAGATAAGAAACAGATTGCACTGAGTGGCCACAAGCTGTGCATTCTCTGTGTCCTACCTCAGTCGGTTTTACCCTAAAAAAAAGGTCATCTGGGCAATCTTCTGCCTCTACTTTGACTGTACTCACTATCTCCTGCCTCTCCCCTGTTTGACCAGAGCCTTATCAGCAAGACCATGCAAAAGAGAGAGCCTTCATCTTCATAGTACACTTCTTTATTTAGAAACGTAAATAAAAACGTTGGGAAAGACCCTGAAGATCATGAAGCGCAACCATTAACCTAGCAATGCCAGGTCTACCACTAAATCATCTCACTAAGAACCACATCTACACACCTTTTAAATACCTGCAAGGATGGTGACTCAAGCCCTTCCCTGGGCAGCCTTTTCCAGTGATTAACAGTCTTCTTGGTGAGGAAATTTTTCCTAATATCCAGTCTAAACCTCCCCTGGTGCTATTTGAGGCCATCTGCATTTGGACAGATTATGACTTGTAGCGTCACCAGTCAGACAGATGATGCCTTCCTGAGAGCTCCAGAGAACTTAGGGGCATATCTGTTTTGCCTCCAGACGACCAGAATTTGGTGTCCTCACCTTACTGAGCCTGGCCTATCTCTACTGGTCTCTCTACCCCAACCTCCTTTCAAACAGCTCTTGCATCAGGACAGAGCTGTTAACCCACACCCATTGTGCGAGTCATAAAAATGGTCTGGGGAGACAGAACTCTTTAGTCTCAAGCTCAAGGCAACCATGCTCAACCATGAGCATTAACAATGAGCATGTACTCACTGAGGATACACTCACATGAAGACTGCTTTACACAACAGCAAGAGACTGCTCTCTGTCCCATGGGTGATCTCCTCCAGGTTTACATATTTAAATGAGAAAAGCAGCCTTCACTGTAGAAGTACTCTCTTCTGCTCAAAATATGGATAAAGTAATTGTCCTTACCATACTCCGCGGAGTACATAGTAGTCTTGCAAATGGTTTCATTCTTCGCGCAGTTCTGAATCGTCATGCACTTATCAGCGGTGGTAGGATCATGGCAATTGTAACATTGCAAGGTTTGTGCTGCAAAGAGGGAAAATATGAGATTGGCCTTAGTGTGGGCCATGAGATTCTGTACATGCCTCTCCAAGTACCACTGGGGAGGGTATCTTTCCAAAATAATCATAATGTAAACAGGAATGGAATAATAAAAGGTATTTATACCAATAGGACTGAGAGATACAGTAGTCATGGTCAAAGCACAGCCTCAGATGTGGGTTCAGATCCCTTGTAGCAAGTCAAGCAAGACAGAGCCACACACACAGAAGACCTTGTACCTGGCTTACCTCAGCTCTTTTCCCACTCTGTGTCTGCTTTTCTCATTTGTATTAGTAGAGAACCAGGAAGAGATCACAGACTCACAAATGCCCAGAATCACAGAATGATGGAGGTTGGAAGGGAGCTCAGGAGGTCATCTAGTCCAATTATCCTGTTCAAGCAGGACCACCTAGAGCCACTTGCCCAGGACTGTGCCCCAATGGTCTTCTAATATTTCCGAGGATGGAGATTGCCCAAACTTCCTGGGCAGCCTGTGACAGTGCTTAGTCATCCTCATGGTAATAAATGTTTCCTGATGTTCAGATGGAACCTCCGATGTTTCCGTCTGTGCCCATTGCCTCTGGTCCTGTCACTGGGCACCAATGAAAAGAGCCTGGATCCATCTTCCTTGCATCTGCCCTTCAGGTATTTCAAGACATTACAAAGATCCCCTGTTGAAGCTTCTCTTCACTAGGCTGAACAGTCCCAGCTCTTTCAGCTTTTCCTCAGAGGAGAGATATCATCCTTGTGGCCATTCATTGGATTGTCTTCAATATAGCCATATCTCTCTTGTGCTGGTGAGCCCAGAAATGGACACAGGACTCCACGTGTGACCTCACCAGTGTTGAGGAGGGGGCATTTGTCTTCTCTGCAGGGTAAACCCAGTATTGATCTGTGGGGTATACCTGAAGTTACTGGCCTTCAGGTAGACTTTGTGCGACTGAACACCACCCACTGGGTCTGGCCATTCAGCCAGTTTTCAGTCCATTTCACTGTCTGCTCATCCAGTCCACACCTCAACAGCTTCTTTTCAGGACATTTCATTCTGATCAGGTCTTTCTGAAGAATGGAACACTTGATCTAGGTCTTCTCTTCTACCCCCTACAAGATAACTGAATGTGGTGTTTTGCAGGCATAGCAATGTATTTTGATACCACCACAGATTAGCAGCCCCTCCTTGGTCTGGAAAGCAACTCTCACCCCATCTGTGTGACAGCCCTGCTGAAATCCTTCAAACCTCATCGAAAAAGAAAAACAATTCAGCTCATCTCAGCAGGCCTAGAACGGTGTGTCACAGCAGCAGGCTCAGGCAAGCAAGTCACCTTATGAAAACAGGTAATGCAACTTAACCCTAATTAGTAAGTCAGAAAGAGCCCTTTTATAAACAGACACAGCAATTATCTCACTTCATTATTCTGTTTTGCCCATTGGAGACTGCTGATTTGTTTGCATTAATCCTACATCTGATAGCTGCCAAATACATCTTTAGATTCATCATTATTTTTGGATTTCATGATGCTTCTCCCTGGACAAGTCAAACTCAAAGTGTTTGTGTTCTTCTTTAGGGAAAAAAAACAGACATAGCAATTATCTCACTTTTATTGAAAGCAAACTTCATTATTCTGTTTTGCCCATTGGAGACTGCTGATTTGTTTGCATTAATCCTACATCTGATAGCTGCCAAATACATCTTTAGATTCATCATTATTTTTGGATTTCATGATGCTTCTCCCTGGACAAGTCAAACTCAAAGTGTTTGTGTTCTTCTTTAGGGAAAAAAAAATAAAAAAGGTAAACACAAGGGGACATCAAATTATGAGAGCAGGGAGAAAACACCATGACTTGTAGACTTAGACATTTGTGGTCTAAATGTCCTGTTTTAAGTAAGCTTTGAAATATCTATTTGGCCTATTTGTGAAGATAAAATGGTAGTGGTCTCTTTTTGCTTTAAGAGGCTATTGACTTAAACACAGGCAAGCACACATACTGTAGCTTAAAAATGAAAATACTCTGTGGAAAGGAATAGAGACATATAATAAGTCTTATTTTATAGAAGAGGTAAATATAAAATGCTAAAATATTTCAATGGAGTTATAGCAAGTTTGCCAACGACACCAAGTTGTGTGGGGTGGCTGAGGGCCTGGAGGGTAGGGATGCCATCCAGAGGGTCCTTGACAGGCTAGAGAGATGGGCCCAGGCCAACATCATGAAGTTCAACAAGACCAAGTGCAAGGTCCTCCATTTGGGTCGGGGCAGTCTCAAGCACCAATACAGGCTGGACAGTGATTGGCTTGAGAGCAGCCCTGAAGAAAAGGACTTGGGGGTACTGGTGGACGAGAAGCTCAACATGAGCCGTCAGTGGCACTTGCAGCCCAGAAAGCCAATCGTGTCCTGGGCTGCATCAAGAGGTGCGTGGCCAGGATGTCGAGGGAGATGATTCTTCCCCTCTACTCCACTCTCGTGAGACCCCACCTGGAGTGCTGCGTCCGGTTCTGGAGCCCACAGCACAAGAGAGATCTGGACGTGCTGGAGTGTGTCCAGAGAAGGG